TGTATGGAGGTCAGAGGACTACTTACAGAAGTTAGTTTTTTCCTACCATGTGTGTTCCAGGGGTCAAACTCAGGTATCTTCAGGCCTTGTGGCAGGTGTCAGCCCTTAAAATTTTAATTGAACAAACAAAAAAATCTACTTAACCTTAACAGTGTATAATCTTAAAAGGACCGGTTTAGAGTGATTGTTTTATTTTGTTTAAGTAGGAACTCAGCCCTTTATTACAGTTGTCTAATTTTATTAGCCCCTCTGGAGGAGTGCCACCTAGTCCTAATATTTGTATCTGCTTGGCTTATAGCTTTATTACAGGTGAGGAAATAGTAAAGGCCATAGACCTTGAGAGTCATGTGTATTAATGTTAAATTTTTCTTACATATGGGAATTGTGCTGGCTCTTCATGATCTCTGATGGACTTACTTTCCTAAGCCAAAATTCAGAAACAAAGTATTAGTAGGTTCACATTTCAAAAGCAGTATTATTTTATTATCTTCTATGAAGTTGTTTGAGATGAAACTAAAATTTTCTATGAAAATAAAGTGTGTTTAATGATGTTAAGATCTTATTTATAGTGAGGCGTTGTGGAACACATCTGTAATCCCATCATGAGAGCAAGATTGTCAAAAGTTGGAGGCTAGTACAGACAATACAGAGAGACCCTGTCTCAAAACAAACAACTTGCTTACATTTTTGCCATGTGCCTAACAGAAGCTCTCTTAGTGAACATGTAAAGATCGTAAAACTAAGTACTTTTCAGTGTCAGCCAATTCAGCATAAAGCCAGACCTTCCCATGGTGGATGTACTCACTCCTCTGCTCTTACCTGACCACTCCAGTGTGAGGAGGAAGAGTAAGTATAAGACTGGTGGTTAATGGCTTCTGTCTAGTAGACCCTCAGCTGTCTTTTAATAGATTCTCTTAATGCATTTGGTTAGAATTGAAAATTGTACCAATATACTAAGTGGTTTTTTTTTTAAGTGTTTATGGTTTGGCTTAAATGAAAATTGTTAAATTATCTAATTTGTTGATTGGTTAAAAATTAAATGAGTTAGTTTCCTTTTACTTATAAATGTTTTTATTTTATTTTTTTGAAAAAGGTTTCTCTGTGTAGTTTTGGTGCCTGTCCTGGATCTCGCTCTGTAGACCAGGCTGGCCTTGAACTCACAGAGATCCGCCTGACTCTGCCTCCCGAGTGCTGGGATTAAAGGTGTGCACCACGGCTGCCTGGCATAAATGTTTTACGTTTTATTTATTTTGTGTGCATGTATGGGGGTACACACATGTCATGACTTGTATATCAAGTCCGAGGACACCTTCTGAGTGTCAGTTCAACCTGTGGGTTCCAGAGATCAGATTCCGGTGGTCATCAGGCTTAGTTCCAAGTGCCTTTGCCAGATAAGTCATCTCATTGACCCCTTACAAATAATTTAAATGTTCAGCATAATTTAGTTTATTTGAAACAACTTAATTGAAAAAGACTTGTTGCTACAAATGAATATTATATACAATCAGTCTCTCAAAAAGTAGAAAACTGAGTATTTAAAATAATTTATCAATATTCCCCATATTTGAGGAGACTTATAATATTCCTGGTTTGTTGTTGTTGTTGTCTGAATTACTGAACAGGGTCTGGGGTAATGGCTTCATGGCTAAAGTGCTTGCTGTGTTTGGATTCCCCAGCACCCACACAAAAAGATAAGCATGACAGTACATGTCTGCAGTTGAGGCACTGATAGGCCAAAACAAGAAGGTCCAAGTGGCTCACTGGCCAGCCGGTCTAACCAATCTCCTCCAGGTTCCATCTCAGAAAATAAGGTGGAAAGCTGTGGAGGAAGACATTGCACTGACCTTTAATCACCACACTCCTGTGCTTACCCGCCCTCTCCCCACCCGGCCCCTCTTAGGTACACAGTTAGTATACAGATTAATGGTGACATGCTGTCTGTGTGTGTTGTTTAGGAACAGATGTCGTCATTGTGAAGAATGGAAGAAGAATCTGCGGCACCGGAGGTTGTTTAGCGAGTGCGCCTCTACATCAGAACAAAAGCTACTTTGAGTTCAAAATCCAGTCTACTGGTTCGTATGGTTTATATTGTACTTAACTATTAAATATTAGTTACTTAGAATATCAAAGATAATTTTGATTATGAAAAAAATTCAGGAGATGGTTAAGAAAAAATCACGAACTCTTCTATACAGGACTGAAGTCTTCCCTCTGTGATCCAGGCTACATTAGTCAATTTGCAACACGCCACCCTAGAAAACAGCTTCAAGAGGAAGGATTTATTGTGGTTCTTCATTTCTGAGGTTCATGGTCACTGGCTCTGTTGTTTCCCAGCCACAGTGAGGCAGAAAATCACGGGGAAAGACTGGTGTTGCAGAAGTTACCCACCTCATGAGAGCAAACTATAATGACATGGAAGAGGCAGGGACAAGATAGACTCTGCAAAGGCGTGCGCCCAGTAGCCTCCTTCCTCCCAAACAAGTCCTACTTCCTGCTTTTTCACAACCTTCTAATAATCCCATCCCACTGTAAATACACCAAGGGATTAACCCCTTAATGGTAGCAGAACCCTCCTGACGCAGTCACCTCTCCATGGTTGAATCCACCAGCAGGGATCCACATGGGCCTTTGAGAGGGACACTTCTTTTTTACAATTTTATGGAGTTTCTTGAATTATATGGCAAGTCTGTATGCCTATTAGGATCATAGCTTGTAGCAGTATTACATGTGGGGAGATTGGTGGGTTTTTGTTTTTAGTAAAAGCTGTGAAATCTTCATGAGTGACCTAAGTGCAGAGTAAGAAGACTATATGGAATAAGTGAGTCCTGTTCCCTAGACAATATGGTACTTCTGGAGCTGGTTTCTTAAAGTAGTTAAATACTGTGGGTTTTTTTTTTTGTTTGTTTGTTTGTTTGTTTGTTTTTTTAAGTGAATGGTATAAATCCAGGTCTGTCCACTGTGCTATTGTAAGTTTCCTCACTGGCTGTGGACTGTCCTAATTACTGTTGTCTTCCCAAATATATTTTCCTTCTTAAAAGAAGCAAATAATGTTTGAGCCTTAAACCTAGTAAAAAATTAGATGTGGATTTTTCTGTCAGGGATACGCTCCACAGTGCCATCCCTAGGACAGATGGTTGTTGGAGTGTTAGTAATCTGGTACACAGTCCTTCGGAGTAAGGAGACTGCAGAATCCTGTCTGCAAATGTTATAAAATCATTATTGTCACCTGTGTCATTCTCACAGTTGTCTCTTTGGGGAGAAGAACTATACACAGGTCAGAGTATTTCTCATGTCAAGATAGTCAGATCCAGACATGCATGCAACTTTCTGATGGATTCAGTCAATCCAGAATGAGTACTGACAGCATAGAATTCAAAGCTCCTTCCGTGTGTAGCATTTCTTCTGATTTTAATGAAAACTGAAAGGTGGCAGCTTGAGAAAAAGCCCAGGACACTAGATATTTTGTTTGGCTGGAGAAGAGAATGCCTGCTTCTGGAGATAGAGTTTGGTGGTAGAGCACTCACCTAGTATGTGTGAGGTGCTGGATTTAGATCCCCAGCGTTAAGAAAATGATGGTGTCTTTTATTCATGTTTAACCTTTGTGTTCTTTGTGTTATTGTTCATAGCAGATATACTTGTTACTCATTATAAATATAACTGAAGACAGTAACCTCACATTTCTTAGAGACAGAGGGGGGCAGGAGTGTGCTTTGCTGGGAATTGAGCCCAAGGCCAAGACTACCACAAAGTGTGCTCCCACCTCTAGCCCTACAGTGCTTAAAAAAAAATCTTAAGAGAAAATAGTAATGGTAATAGCTAGCATTTTTAAATACCCAGTGTGTGCTTTAGTTGCTCATTTAAAAAAAAAAAAAAAAACTTCTCAGCCTATCCTAAGTGCTGTGTTTGGGTAGTCCTGTATCTTTTCCTTACCTTGTGTCTTAGCTCTGTTCTATTGCTGGGAAGAGACACCACGACCAAGTCAACTTATAAAAGTAGGTATTGTATTGGGGACTTGCTTACAGTTTCAGAGAGTGATCCTCATGGAGTGGAGCATGGTGGCAGGCAGGCAGGCAGGCATGATGCTGGAGCAGTAGCTGAGAGCTGACATCTTATCCACAGGCAGGAGGCAAAGACAGACAGGCTGGGCCTGGTGCGGTCTTTTGAAATCTCAAAGCCTGCCCCCAGTGACACACCTCCTCCAACAAGGTCACATGCCAGACCTCCTAATCCTGCCTAAACAGTCTACCAACTACAGACCAAGCATTCAAATATATGAGCCTTATGGGGGCCCTTCTCATTCAAACCACCATACCTTGTAAGTACTGTTAGACTCAACAGATAAGGAAATAGGGAAGTTAAGTACTTTGCCCAAGATAACATAGCTATGATTGTGTGAACCTCAGCAATACAGCTTTTAACCTCCTATAGAGAACTTTGTATACTTTGCAGCTTACTTCAAGCAAACGTTGTTATTATTGTGTGTGTATGATCTGGTGGGGGGTGAAAATCAGAGCTCAGCTAAAGAATCCGCGGGTCTGTCCTTTCACTTTCACCTGCTTTTCAAATTTGTCACTATCTGCTGAACCATCACTCTGGCCCTGCAATCTGCTTTTTAAAAGGTTTGCTTTACAAAACACAAGGATATAC